AAAAAAAAAAAAAAAAAAAGCAGGGCTGCAATCCCAGTCCTGATAAAACAGACTTTAAACCAACAAAGATCAAAAGAGATAAAGAAGGGCATTACATAATGGTAAAGGCATCAATGCAACATGAGCTAATTACCCTAATTATACATGCAGGCAATACAGGAGCACCCAGTACATAAAGCAAGCTCTTAATGACCCACAAAGAGACTCAGGCTCCCACACAATAATAGTGGGAGATTTTAACACCCCATTGTCAATATTAGACAGATCAGCAAGACAGAAAATTAATAAGGATATCTAGAACTTGAACTCAGATCTGGACCAAGCAGACCTAATAGACATCTACAGAACTCCCCAACCCAAATCCCCAGAATATGCATTCTTCTCAGCACCACATCCCACTTATTCTAAAATTGACCATATAACTGGAAGTAAAACACACCTCAGCAAATGTTAAAGAATGGAAATCATAACGGTCTCTCAGACCACAGTGCAATCAAATTAGAACTCAGGATTCAGAAACTCACTCAAAACCACACAACTACATGGAAACTCAACAACCTGCTCCTGAATGAGTACTGCATAAATAATAAAATGACGGCAGAAATAAACATGTTCTTTGAAACCACTAAGAATTAAGACACAACATACCAGAATCTCTGGGACACATTTAAAGCAGTATCTAGAGGGAAATTTATAGCACTAAATGCTCAAAAGAGAAATGAGGAAAAATCTAAAATCAACACCCTAATGTCATGATTAAAAGAACTAGGGGAGCAAGATCAAACAAATTCAAAAGCTAGCAGAAGACAAGAAATAACTAAGATCAGAGCAGAACTGAAGGAGACAGACACACAAAAAAACCCTTCCCAAAANAAAAAAAAAAAAAAATCAATGAATCCAGGAGCTGGTTTTTCAAAACATCAACAAAATAGAGGGACTGCTAGCCAGACAATAGAAAAGAGAGATGAATCAAATAGATGCAATAAAAAATGATAAAGGGGTTATCACTATTGATCCCACAGAAATACAAACTACCATCAGAGAATACTACAAACACCTCTATGCAAATAAACCAGTAAATCTAGAGGAAACTGATAAATTTCTGGACACTTACACCCTCCCAAGACTAATCCAGAAAGAAGCTGAATCCCTGAATAGACCAATAACAAGGTTGGAAATTGAGGCAGCAATTAATAGCCTACCAACCAAAAAAAGTCCAGGACCAGAGAGGTTCACAGCCAAATTCTACTAGAGGTACAAAGAGGAGCTACTATAACTCCTTCTGAACCAATTCCAAACAATACAAAAAGGGAATCCTCCGTAACTCATTTTATGAGGCCAACATCATCCTGATACCAAAACCTGGCAGAGACACAACTAAAAAAGAAAACTACAGGCCAATATCCATGATGAACATTGATGTGAAAATCCTCAATAAAATACCGCCAAACCGAATCCAACAGCACATCAAAAAGCTTATCCACCACGACCAAGTTGGCTTCATCCCTCAGATGCAAGGTTAGTTCAACATATGCAAATCTATAAACGTAACCCATCACACAAACAGAACCCAAGACAAAAACCACGATCATCTCAATAGGTACAGAGAAGGCCTTCGACAAAATTCAGCAGCCCTTTATGCTAAAAACTCTAAATAAACTAGGTATCAATGGAACATATCTCAAAATAATAAGAGCTATTTATGACAAACCCACAGCCAGTATCATACCGAACAGGCAAAAACTGGAAGCATTCCCTTTGAAAACTGGCACAAGACAAGGATGCCCTCAATTAGCACTCCTATTCAACACAGTATTGGAAGTTCTGGCCAAGGCAATCAGGCAAGAAAAAGAAATAAGGCATATTCAATTAGGAAAAGAGAAAGTCACATTGTCTCTATTTGCAGACGACATGACTGTCTATCTAGAAGACCCCATCGTCTCAGCCCAAAATCTCAAGCTGATAAGCAACTTCGGCAAAGTCTCAGAATACAAAATCAGTGCAAAAATCACAAGCATTCCTATACACCAGTAACAGACAGACAGTCAAATCATGAGTGAACTCCCATTCACAAATGCTACAAAGAGAATAAAATACCTACGAATATAACTAACAAGGGATGTGAAAGACATCTTCAAGAACTACAAACCACTGCTCAATGAAATAAGAGAAGATACAAACAGACTGAAAAACATTCCATGCTCATGTTTAGGAAGAATCAATATCATGAAAATGGCCATACTGCCCAAAGTAATGTACAGATTCAATGTTACCCCCATCAAGCTACCATTGACTTTTTTTTTTTTTAATTTTTTTTTGGGTACGGAGTTTCGCTCTCGTTACCCAGGCTGGAGTGCAATGGCGCAATCTCGGCTCACCGCAACCTCCGCCTCCCGGGTTCAGGCGATTCTCCTGCCTCAGCCTCCCGAGTAGCTGGGATTACAGGCACGCGCCACCATGCCCAGCTAATTTTTTGTATTTTTAGTAGAGACGGGGTTTCACCGTGTTGACCAGGATGGTCTCGATCTTTTGACCTCGTGATCCACCCGCCTCGGCCTCCCAAAGTGCTGGGATTACAGGCTTGAGCCACCGCGCCCGGCCTACCATTGACTTTCTTAACAGAATTGGAAAAAAAACACCTTAAACTTCATATGGAACCAAAAAGGGGCCCATACAGTCAAGACAATCTTAAGCAAAAAAAAAAAACAAAACTGGAGGCATCATGCTACCTGACTTCAAACTATACTACAAGGCTACAGTCATCAAAACAGCATGGTGCTGGTGCCAAAACAGAGATACAGACAATCGAATAGAACGAAGGCCTCAGAAATAACACCACACATCTACAACCATCTAATCATTGACAAATCTGACAAAAGCAAGCAATGGGGAAAGGATTTCCTATATAATAAATGGTGTTGGGAAAACTGGCTAGCCATATGCAGAAAGTTGAAACTGGATCCCTTCCTAACTCCAAATGGATTAAAGATTTAAACATAAGACCTAATACCATAAAAACCCCAGAAGGAAACCTAGGCAATACCATTCAGGACACAGGCATGGGCAAGGACTTCATGACTAAAACACCAAAAGCATTGGCAACAAAAACCAAAATAGACAAATGGGATCTAATTAAACTAAAGAGCTTCTGCACAGTGAAAGAAACTATCCTTAGAGTGAACCGGCAACCAACAGAATGGGAAAAATTTTTTGCAATCTACCTACCTGACAAAGAGCTAATATCCAGAATCTATAAAGAACTTAACAAATTTACAAGAAAAAAAAAAAACAGCCCTATCAAAAAGTAGATGAAGAATATGAACAGACACTTCTCAAAAGAAGGCATCTATGCAGGCAATAAACAAATGAAAAAAAGCTCATCATTACTGTTCATTAAGAGAAATGCAAATCAAAACCACATTGAGATACCATCTCACTCCAGTTAGAATGGCAATCATTAAAAAAATCAGGAGACAACAGATGCTGGAGAGGATGTAGAGAAACAGAAATGCTTTTACACTGTTGGTGGGAGTATAAATTAGTTCAACCACCATGGAAGACACTGTGGCAATTCCTCAAGGATCTAGAAACAAAAATACCATTTGACCCAGCAATCCCATTACTGGGTATATACCCAAAGGAATATAAGTCATTCTATTATAAAGACACATGCACACGTATGTTTATTGCAGCACTGTTCACAATAGCAAAGACTTGGAACCAACCCAAATGCCCATCAATGATAGACTGGATAAAGAAAACGTGGCACATATACACCATGGAATAAATACTATGCAGCCATAAAAAAGAATGAGTTCATGTCCTTTGCAGGGACATGGATAAAACTGGAAACCATCATTCTCAGCAAGCTGACACAAGAACAGAAAACCAAACACCACGTTCTCACTCATAAGTGGGTGTTGAACAATGAGAACACATGGACACAGGGAAGGGAACATCACACACCGGGGCCTGTCAGCAGGTGAGGGAATAGGGGAGGGATAGCATTAGGAGAAATATCTAATGTAGATGACGGAGTGATGGATGCAGCAAACCACCATGGCATGTGTATACCTATGTAACCAACCTGCATGTTCTGCACATGTACTCCAGAACTTAAAGCATTTAAAAAAAAAAAAAAAAAGAAAGAAATTGAAATTGAAATTAATACTACCCCATCTAACAGACAATGAAACAGGCATGGAGAGGGTAAGCACCTCTTCCAAGGAGGAGGATATCTGAACCCAAGTAGTACAGCTCCAGAAAAAAGATCTTTCAGCCTATACCCGACTCACAAGTCTTCACTGGAAACTAAAAACTCTTCATGTCTTTACCTGAAAATTCTGCACAGCCATAAGGTGGTATCTGAAAGTATCCTAGTTGTAAGTTTTCTCAGCTTCTCCTTGTCCAGAGTTGAAATATAAGCTCCCAGACTATGTCCCAACAAAGCCATATGACCTTGTTCTCCAATATTTTGGATTCTGTTAAGCAAAATTAGTTTAAAGAAAGAATTAGAGTCAAACCATAAAAAAGGACACAGAACATAGAGACAGTGCTCCACAGAAATTTGTCAGACTTGAAATCTACTTAATGGCCCAGAAAGCAGAAACTCAGATAAATTAAGAAAATTCAAAGCATATATGGTATTGACAGTTTGGTGAAAATTTTGAGATGGAGATATATATATATATATATATTTTTTTTTAAGATGGAGCCTCACTCTTGCCCAGGCTGGAATGCAATGGTGTGATCTTGGTTGACTGCAATCTTCACGTCCTGGGTTCAAGTGATTCTCCTGCCTTAGCCCCCGAGTCTGGGATTACAGGCGCCCGCCACCACACCCAGCCAATTTTTGGTACTTTTAGTAGAGACGGGGTTTCACCATGCTGGTTAGGCTGCTCTCGAGCTCCTCACCTCAGGTGACCCACCCACCCCGGCCTCCCAAAGTGCTGGGATCACAGGCATGAGCCACTGCGCCCGGCCAGAAAAATATTTTCATAATTTAGGTTCCAGGAGGTAAATATCCCTTTTTAAATTGAGTATCTACAAACTGTTTTAAAATAATTTCCTATTAAATTTTTTTTTCAGGCCGGGCACAGTGGCTCACGCCTGTAATCCCAGCACTTTGGGAGGCCGAGGCGGGC